AACGCTTCACCGACACGTTTCCTTCACGCTGATGCTCCCTGGCCTTGTGGTCTGGACTAACACCACAGGCAAAGGGTGACCTCCCTCGTGTGGAAAAATGCTGAGGACTCCAGATGCACCGAAGACTACAGCACATCATTTTTCTTAAAGGAATCAAGAAAAGTTCAACTGCAGCCCACCTCACAGCATAGTGGCTGTGGGGAAAGTAGGAGGCAAAGCATGATGTACGCCGCCTCGGGTTCCAGAAAGAAAGGTGGGTTATCAATCTAACAAACAAAGATATTGACAATTCCCCCTCCCCTTCAGTAGTTAAAATTGAGTATAAATACACACACACACACTAGCCTGGGGGCATTGCCTTTATTTAAGAGACTGATGCAAATGGCCAGCTGGAGGGGGAGGAAGGAATGCCTTGATTCTGCTGAGTATATTCCAGTATCATGCGATGTAACAGCATGATTTTATTTATTACATCCATCTTAGTTTAGGGTCAGTTTCTAATTTTGCTACTATGCGCCTAGGGAATATTTAAATCAACTGTGTTTAGATCGTAATCCAAGTAGACTAAAAATAACACTCATTAGGAGAATCAGATTTTCTATGCAGCGTCCCACTGCATGGTCAAAACCTCCCATATGCAAAAGTCACTTCAATTTGCCCAGTCAAGATTAAAAAAAAAAAAAAAAACTTCTGAAAATTTGTCCTTGAATTGTTGGTATTGAGCCTTACTGATTTGTATGCAGTCAACTATGGGGGCCTTTAATCACACCCATAAGAGCACCCTTTGATTTCCCAATTTTAGCCTTGTAACATGAGTTGATAAGGAGTGGTCTCCGAAGGTGAACGGTAAGGGCCCCTCCCTCCAAGAATTATGTATCTTTGCGCTGGAATCAAACGGATCTAATTCAAGTGCACACACCTAAAACTTTGTCTAAGGCAGAAATTCTTCTATGGGAACTGTTGTCCCTTAACAGGAGCCCCCCCCCCCGTGCAAAGCACCCCTTCAGAGCCAGGTGGCGCAGAGACCCCAGCAAAGCTGAAGGTTCCCGTGGTCCTGTGTTGGAGGAATTTTGCCCCCACACCAGCCTCCACCTCTCTCCCTGCCAGCAACTGGGGTGGGGGGTGTCTTTTGGGGAGAGAGTGTCTTCTGCGGGCA